GTTCATTGCTCAGGACAGTCACTTGAAATGTTTATTCTGCTGTAATTTTAATGAAGTTGTCCAACACATTTTACGTCAACCCCCGGCGTTGGCGCAAGTACAATATCTGAAGCGAAGGGCGGCACGGTTCGTTCCTTGTCCTTACGTCTTCGTCGTGTGTGCGGTTTGACTCCAACCATGCTACGACAGAGCCAGTGTAGAGGGCGCCGTGGAAAATGGCAATTATACAATTCTTTGGAATAGGTCCGTATGTATACCCAAGCCAACAAACCTGACCTTGACCTTTATAGAACCCATGAAATTATTCATGTCACTGAATTCTTGTCACTTTTGACAGTAATGTGACAATATTCGGCAATATTCAGAATGTAACATGGGAAATATGCGGACCTCCCCTACGAAATGTTAGCTTGCTGCCCAAGTACCAGGATTCCAGACTCCCCATTGTTTCTGGTGCCAGTCTGTCACCTGACTGACATTGAGAGAGCACCCGGGTTTTGCCCCACACACAACATTTCTGACATTCTGGGTAATGCAGAAGGCTTCGGTGTTGGGGAGTCTCCATATTCTTTTTTTCTTCTTTTTTTGATTTTTTAATTTTCGGGGATGGGGGGTCGACTAGGCGGCGCTTCTTGGGAGAAGACTGGGCCGCGTCCAGAGGGGTCAGGGGCCCTGCGCTGATGGTGAGTCGAACCAGTCTGACTGGGCCAGACTATTTACTATTTATGCTAATGAGTAAATAATAATAATAATTGCACGTACGTATCTTCCGCATACAGTATAGACTTTGGCTGATCTAATCATAGCATGTGAATATTATAGACATATGATTGTCGTTGACGAAATAACCTCGACATCCATGTGTGACGCAAATAGGAATACTGCTTGAACTGCGCAAATGAGGCTTTTAGAGAAGGGTACACACGGGGCTTCCCCTGCAGATATAACTTGCTATCTAAATCTCAGTGTGACAAAACGTTTTATATCCCTGATGGGGTGATATGAAATACCCCTTTGAAATAGACATGCCGGTCATGAATGAGCGACGACAGCACTGATATAAACACTTGTCATAACATAAGGGAGGGGATTTATGTGTGTTTCACTGAACTTGTCTACTGCGTTGAGAGGTAATCGTATAAATATCAACAGATATTCACACCATTTTCTTCAAGCCCTGTGTGTTTGTGTCGACGAGCGTATGAGTAGGTAATTCCCCAGTCAAAGAGAAAGAACGTGTCAACAGATACTCTCATTTTCTGTTCAAGCTTTAGGGTGTGCGATGTTATATTTTATCAAAGCAGGTTTCACCATGAGGCCGTTTTCCGAACTATGTTTACATGCACGTTCAATCGATCTAATAAGATGTCAACATGTTGCCCCATCCTTTTATTCTTCATATCATCTTGAAATACATACGACACCCAGCTGGAATCTCGTGACGTATTCAATGATACATTGGCTGCACTGTTAGACATATGATCCGTACTGCAAACACGCTCCTCGCCATCAGTCGGTGAAGGCTGTACTGTCCTTTCTGCTACCCTCGCTGTTTAACCCTGATAATATTGACATATAAGACGAGTATATGGATGACAACTTCTTCTTTATTGTATAACATAACGTTTCTGGGCTGCTTCTTGCCCCTTCTTCTGGTGATATAAAGACAGGAGTACAAAACATACTATATATACCAGAATTACAGGAAGCCAGAGATGTACATCTATATACAATCAATCAATGACGACAGATCAATTAGAAGTTATAAAAACAATTATGATAAGGAGATGTGTACACAACAGAGTGATATACAGCTAATTAAATGACAATAGAGGCGGCTTTTGTGGTGTTCCAGGCACTAGGGGAGGTATACACCTTGATCTCTATTAATCTCTGGGGTTAATCTCCTGATGTTGATGGCTTCTAGTATTTTACCGTTTGCGCCAATCGTGAACATTGGTAGCCAAGATGCTAGTCTGTTGTCAGTCAATGGAATGGGTGGGGTTGTTGATTATATGCTCTGAAAGGGCTGATTTGTGGTCGGCTTTTTCAACAGATATTTTGTGTTCTTTGAGTCGTATATCTAAGGGACGTGATGTCTCTCCAATGTAGTTACTGCCACAGTGGCAGTTTAGTTGGTATATGCAGCCTCGGGGATTGTGCGTAGTCTGGTTGCTGGTACCTCGTCCATTTGCCTTTAGGATGGTGTTCAAAGTTTTGTCCGAATAAAATGTCACGTCTATGCTGATGTGATGACTACTCTGGCCTTGGTAGGGGATGCTGATCCTGATTGGCGATGGTTCAGTTTTGGGTGGGCGTTGTTTTTGCTGTTTGAGAGTTTTAGCTATGGTCTGCTCAACAATGTGTTTGGGATAGCCGTTTAGGGTGATGAAAGTTCTCTTGAGGTGATCTATCTCAGCGCGTAGTTTGACGGGGTCACAGATGGATCTGGCTCTTCTTGTGAGAGTTGATATTATGGCGCGTTTAATCTGGGGGTGATGATTGGAATTGTAATGGATTATTGGTCGGTGTGGGTTGGCTTTCTGTAGACTGATGTATTCACCCTGTGAATATACGTCTTTGATATAAACAATAATTACATAAATATATATAATACTAGTAATTACATTAATATAAATAATAATTATATACATATATATAGAATATTAACGTTACATAAAATTCTATACATAATAGAATAAATATATAATAATTACATTAATATAAATAATAATTATATCATAATATATATAATATTAACGTTAATATATAAATATTCTATACATAATAGTTACGTAAATATATAATAATTACATTAATATAAATAATAATTATATACATAATATATATAGAATATTAACGTTAATATATAAAAAAATTCTATACATAATAATTACGTAAATATATAATAATGACATTAATATAAATAATAATTAAATACATAATATATATAGAATATTAACGTTAATATATATAATAATTATATACATAATAATTACATTATCATGATTAAAGATTACATAACTATAAATAATTATTATATAAAATATAGATAGAACAACACTATAATGGGTACATGAAATAACACTGGATATGTGATAGAATACCACAGATGTACTTGTAGTCTGTGATAGAATACCACAGATGTACGTGTAGGCTGTGATAAAATACCACAGATGTACGTGTAGGCTGTGATAGAATACCACAGATGTACGTGTAGGCTGTGATAGAATACCACAGATGTACGTGTAGGCTGTGATAGAATACCACAGATGTACGTGTAGGCTGCTTGGCGAAGTAATAGTTCTATTATCATTTGACTTACGAGTGACTTTTTGTGAATGAATGAATCGAATGAATATCTTTATTTCCTCCAGAAATACGAAGATTTACAATATCTCTGATGTTACGCAGAGCAATGAAGCTAATATGTTCTGAATGAAGAGTGCTGATCAGGAGGTGTGAATATGCCCAACTATCTGTTTACTAAAACGAATAGCTGGAGATCCATACTCATCACCACGCACGGCGTCTCGTGTTTACACAAATACATCGACTAATGCTTGTCCTTGAGATACCACCCATGACTAATATACAGAGTTCGGCGTCTTCTCGAACGGAAACAAATTAATAACAGTTTATGTTTCCTTGTCCACTTTCAGAATACCTTTCACTGTCACGGATGTGAGCGGATGTTGCAGCATTGACGATGGTTGGCGACGTCCACGAGGGAAGCCCAAAACGTACATGTGTATAGTAGCGAACGTTTGATTTCCATGGGTGGGCGTGGTGCGGAGCTCCACACCCCACACCCCGAGGCCCCACACCACCAAAACCATCCCCGCCTTCCTTCAAGAAATGCATCTGGTGGATCCCGTGACCCACAGTTATGCAGTTATAACATAACAAAGGGAATGACATATACTGATTCCGCTGTGATAACGCCCATGCCATAAAAATGGCGAAATGAGCCTCCGCCTCAATTGAAATAATCTGTGTCTCACTTCCCGAATGTGCCTGAGCATTTAAATGTTTCTGCCTTAACTATATTTCTAACACAAAGTTTCTGTTATGAAATGTACTTCAAACAAGTCATATTTGTAAACTAAATTTACGGCTTACTCGTACGTGTCGTATGGCGAATTATTAACATACAGTGGAAACACATTATGTGATATACATTTATACACTGATAGATCTTCCTACTTTTATATAAATCCCACTTCAATTTAATTTTGCGTGTTATCTTCACTCAGATATAGGAACCGCCATGGAATTAATATTCAGTTGATTCCAACCTCGCATTATTTACGTTGTACAGTCGTCACATGTCGGGGGCATTAGTTGGGGATGTTCCAGAGATAAGTGTTCACAATAATATAAAAAGATGCGTGATATTTACTGGTCCTCTGAGCGGTGTCCCTGTGTTGGCTTACTGCTAGCCCGTGAGGTTAACGTCCCCTGCCTATCAGTATTCTATCTATATACAACGGACATATCTGCAGATTTAACTAACAGTAATCATGCCTTATACATCCTATCAATCTTCGAATGAGTTAATTAATTTTCTAAGTGTACCTGTGACTCATATACATGTACAGTATGTAAAACCGTGTCTTATTCTGAGTCTGTTAGGGTAGTCGTTATAGCACGCGTCCCCACAAGGACACACGCACCAAAGACAGGCTACTAATATCGTCTATTAACATTCAGTACAACAAAAAGGACCGGGTTTTATTCCCAACGTTATGGTATTTTCATGAAGTAATTGTAATGCTCAGGAGATATCCGTTTGTCTACGCCACATCCACACAACACCATCATCACAAATACGGAGATCGTCACGATATGGCTGAAATATTGCCGATGTGACGTTAAATATTAACTCACTCACTCACAAATACGGAGAATGTCTGGTATACAGCAATCAAGTTGTTAAACTGTGCTTGTTACAGGTGTAATTACCGCGGTCGTTTACTGACAACGCTGGATTATATCTCCAAATCTAGTGCAGAGTCAGTCCATGTGTTGTCATCTCGGAGATATGTTTGGCAGCCTGACCAAACGACGGTGGTCTCCGTCGGAATACATGTGCGCTTGTATATGAAACCACAGTAAAATGGAATGATACAGTTTTATCCGGGAATACCTAGTATTTCACACACCGTCCAGGGATCTGTTTGAGGGCTCTTCCTTATATTAATTACAGGAATTGTTATCAAGGCCTGGTGAGATTCGTGGAAGCCGATCTCATGTCGCAGGTGGCTGTCGTGTCTTAGCGATAGTCACCAAAATATTACACAACATGCTCAAACAAAGGGGAGTAAATATATATGTACCAGAATTTACAGCTGGACTGCATATATTGGTAGATACAATACGGTACTTATTTCGAGTGCCACACCTGGTAAAACCAGACGAAAATAGTAACTTAGGCAATCTGACCCATATGAATACGTCACCCAACAGCCTCTATTTGGCGCCAAGAGCACAGGATCAGTACCAACCAATAGTTTTACTGTTCAAGGCGACGTTATCAAATTGCTTTCACGCGAGTACCAGCTCTTTACTGTTATGTTGCCAAGGCTCATTTGCATTGTCACGTGACAAATCCGATTGGATGATAAGTCACGTGCCCGCGTGCCCCAATGCAGTGATGTTTTTACTATGAATACTCGTAATAGCTTGCCCCTGCTGTCAAAGCCCGACACAGCACAGGTGAAGTCACTCCCTCCCGCAGTTCGGTTTCCGCCTGTGTATATTTCAGCAAGCGAGCACGAGTTGACCGGAGTCCTTCTCGGTGGTATATTTCATTCTCACGGACGGTTGTACATTACACCACGGTGAGTGTTTGTCAGCGACTGTGTCAATCACATGTGTTGTATATTTCTGTTTCTCAATGTGTGTCAAGCCAGGCCGCCTGTCTGTGTAGGAAGGGAGGCAACCCTTGTCACACGATCAGCTGATTTTTCTCAGGTGTTGTCGGTGAAGTTTAAGCAACTGTTATTAAAGATTTGTCAAAACGATGTTCAGGTATTTAGTTGTTCAGATTTCTGAGAACAAACATTGTACACTGTCATTGAAAGAAATACCATCTTTGTGTACCCTGATCTATGATTTAGATAGTTTGTTCAACAGATTCGAAAGAATCCCATGTATGCATTCCCCACAGCACTGGTCACTTACACGTGTGTAAACCCACATACACAGTCACGTGATTCGTTTGCCCTCTGTCACAATCCGAAGCTTCTTTACATGATGTCAATTTTTTTTGCTAATTTCCACATGCACGGACTGCGTCGTAAGACCGACTGTCGTCATGTCCACACAATAACTATGTCATATGACCACTAATCACTCCGGGATGGATATGGCGTATAGATACAGATACAGGTACATGCGTATCGAACAACCGTATCAGTGATAGGCTGATCAAACTCTGGGCTCACACAATCGCGACACTGATAGTTTTGTAAATCAAAACAGCACGGGATTTCGTGTTAGGAGGAACCCTATGTAAACACCCTGTCAATCATGTGTCAGCCATGGTGATAGGTGCTTGTTGATTTCTCTGAGTTTTGGGCTGTACAGCTGGCTGATGCAGCTGGTGTGGACAGAAGGAGGTCCGGGGATACAAACCACCACAGCCTCACAACGAACCACCAAAACATCACTGTAAGCGTAAACAATATTCTGAACAAATATGGGAACCACTTATTGGCGAATTCAACTTATTATTATTGTTATTGATGGTGTAATTTAACTTGGTAGCCTTTGTATTACTGGTGGCCGTAGTAGTAGTAGTAGTAGTAGTAGTAGTAGTCCCGCCGTGATGTTGCTGGAATATTGCTAAAAGCGGCGTAAAACCAAACTCAGTCAGTCAGTAGTAGTCGGGTAATAATTTTAAATATCTTTACAATCACTCGTTGGTATTATTGTTATGTTTATTTGTTTATTTTGTTATTTATGGATGTAGTTTAGCGATGTGTTGATGCGTCATGTTGATGCGCTACCAGCAGCTGCGCCCGGCAAACTGCACTCTTGCCCGCGTCCTTTGTTCATATGTAAAATATAACAGTTATGTTTGTAAATGTTTTTATCGCCCAAGAGTTTTAATTTGTTCACGCAGTATACAAATATCATGCTTAGGGTATATCAAGTATTGTTTGGTAAATTAATTATCTATATATAAATTATCTCTTGATTTCATAACACATTTTAGGTATAAATTTATCAGCTAGTCCTTCTGTCCTGTAGATAAAGAGTACTTCTCAATCAAATATTTTTTGCAATGCGAATTCAGTAGTTATATACGACTGTCGTTAATTTCCAGAACATCAAACAAAATATGCTCGCCGATCGCGACGATGAGGCTCGATTGCAATTGGCAACTCAGGTTTCCATGGAGACACAGCAGATGACTCCATTAATCAAGGAGGAGCTACGTCTGTCAATCATAAAGAAACGGCACGCGAGTGGTCAAGAAGACATAAAGGTTGAATTCAAAGAGGCAGAGAAGCATGAGGTAAGCGTCAAATATGTACCCCGTGTCATTCTTGACTACCCTAATACTGTTTATATATATACATGTAGTTTTAATATATATATGTTAAGACCACGCCCTTCAAAATTAATTGCGTCTTACTGTCAAATGGACTGTATTTATATATTTATTTATTTATTTGATTCTGACATGGAACAATTTTAGAAACTAAGTAGGAAATGTAGAAACGTATTTATTTATTTATTTATTTATTTATTTATTTATTTATTTATTTATTTATTTATTTATTTATTTATTTATTTATTTATTTATTTATTTATTTATTTATTTGGTACAGATATGGAACAATTTTAGAAACTAAGTAGGACATGTAGAAACATATTTATTTATTTATTTATTTATTTATTTATTTATTTATTTATTTATTTATTTATTTATTTATTTATTTATTTATTTATTTATTTATTTATTTATTTATTTATTTATTTATTTATAAACGTCTCGAAGGGAGGCGCTTTGTGTATTTTCTTGTTGCAAGTAACCCATGAAGGACTTTATTTATTTACAATGTCATTGAGGAATAAGTCCCTGAAGAAACTTCGAACAATAAATATTTTGGTATGATCAACAATACGTTTTAATAAACCCAGGACAAATGGCCTGTAGTCCACGAAATCTATAACTGCGCAGTTGAAACGCAAACCCCAAAAGAAAGTATTTCGAATTTCAAACAGTTTAACTATCATATTTACTTCGGGATTCTTATCTCAATTATTTATATTTTGTTATTTTTTCCTTGATTCCATGTGTTGTCTGGTATTTGATGCGTCGATCCAGCTCGCTTTAACAACTGTTATATTTCCCAGCTCACGGCACATGAGAAACTGAAACGCGAGAGGCGGAAGGAGCAGAACAGAAGAGCCGCTCGTAGATGTCGTGAGAAGAAGAAGTTGCAACAATGCGGGAAAAGCCAGGTGAGATTTTTACTTCTCACTTTCAGGAAGATTTTTACTTTTCTAATTTTCAGTAGCCGATAGTATAAATTGTGAATTTGTTATAACTAGTTTTCGTGAGTGAAATATTTTCAAATCGGAAAATGATATTTAAAAAGGTTGCAAATACATTTCGAAGAATTATTTTACATTAATGATTCACGTTAAATTATTTTCATGTGTATCTATTATGGTATTATTATAATTGTTTTTCATTGTTACTGATGTTTAATATTGTGTTTTGTGTTGCAGTTTTTCACGGACATCATTGACCAGAACAGTCAGCTTCACGCGCAGGTGAAGCGGCTCCGCAAGGAGAAGACCAGCCTCGAGGACATACTCCATGACCATATCTCGTCTGGCTGCTGTCGCCAGGTCAAACTGGAAATCGAGGCTGACGCCGTAAACCCTATCATCAACGCTGCCTCTACCGTGCGCCCAGATGGGGTTTACGGAAACGTAGGGACTGTTCCTGTTGTAAACGAAGGACCGCCTGAAAACGCTCTACCGTCGTTTTCCGAGACTTTCCTGGAAGCCGTTTCTCCAACATCAGGAAACCAAGATATCTTCCAGTTCGCTTCCGCTATTCCAGACATGCGCACTGACAATGTAACAACCAGAACATGGTCTGGTGCCTCTGATGACGTTACCCCTTCGGACACTCTACCGGAAGCCATCTTCGACGCAATGGATCCTTCGGCCAATGACGACGTGTTTTACGACAACGACCAGTTTGTGGCAAAGAAGACGACAGATGCGACCCTAACTGATCTGATGGACACGTGGACCCAGGACCAGTTCATCCTACAAGGGGATACGTTCATGGATCTGAATTCATTAGATCCGAACGAGCCGTGAGAATCTTCGCAACGACCACAACGACCACTACCACACAGTGAACAGCCAACGACCAGACGTCGGGACACTCCTTGTCCGCTACTTCCCCAATACACACACTTCCGGGGTACAGACTTCAAGTGTTCAGCCACCAACTCTCTCTCTGTTCCATGTTGATAACTTCCATTTGTGATACAACACCTTACGGCGTTTGTTATATATATTGACAATACATCACAATGGATTCATATGTTTTTCCAAGACGGACACGAATGGTGTTATCAGCAATGGGAAGAGGTATTCTGGGTTAAAACAATCGATTACCTACTGTATCATACAAGCGGTAACGTACAATTGTTTCAAAGAGTCAGTTTCAAGCCATCAACAAATTGACATTTAACAAGGCGAAGTTTACAACAATTTTTGTTCTTTCTCAACCCTATATCGCGAGTCGCGCTTTTGTAAATATTATTCCCTTGAAAATCGCCCATTCTTGACAAATCCATTCCATTCACAATTGTTATTCTCGCCTACATTAATCAGCATTCATCCGATCTGATAGTTCGTATGGGTCACAGCGCACAAATTCTAAATACAGGTAAATCAAAGCATTTCTTGGTTTTCATTTGTGCACGTTTAAAACATCACCGCTACCAAACAGCCAGTATTTACATCGCCATAAGTCAAAACAGTTCACAAAACCATTCCGAACTAAAATTCACTCCATGTCAAGTATCAACACTGCATATTTCCTGTACCACGCAGTATGTATATTACAGGCCGCTTTACACTAAGGTGGTGTCGATGTGACTGGGACTTTTTGTAAAGAAATCGTTCAAGAGCAAAATGAAAAAACGAGGGCAATTTTTTGTTTTGAGGCTTTTTACCCAGAACAATAAATTGTTCGTTTCACAATTTGGATGTTCTGAAAAATATGTGTTGTCAAAACTAAACTATTGAAATGCCAGGCCCAGCTGTAGGCGGCCCTGTAGTGCTGTATCGTCATCAGATGTATGTGATATGTATCGCATATATCCTATATGTGTACATAGGCTTTGTAATCAGTGTAATGTGAGATGTCGATATGTTGTAAACTACACAAGAAGATACCCGAAATGTGTTCAACCATAGATTCAACTTCATTTCACTTTTCTAAACACCGTCTTTTGAGAATAAATCGTATATTGAATATAATAATCCATGTATCAAGATCTCAAAAACGAAATGTGTTCATTTTTATATGTATTCACAACACTACTAGTCGTCAGCATATTGAACGTTTCATCCCGATTTCAAAACCAATCAAACTTTGTAATAATAAGTTAGTGAGGTTTCCATTATGTTGTGTTGAGCGAACGACAACGATTAACATACCATATAGCATTCGTGATCAATATTGTACCAAGTGATTAATATTGTACCAAGTGATGAATATTGTACCAAGTGATGAATGCAACCCATCGTCTTGAGGGTAATCCGTAGCACTAGTCCCGTTTGCAACATGGAAAATGTGGATTTTGTCTATGAAATCTTTATGCAATGTAATTTCAATGGGAATTATTTTAGATATAATTTTTGTATATGCAGATATATTTACAACAATCTCATGCGAATATCCACGATGAAGTGACCGGCTATTTATTGTATATTGTTTAGTATTTTGTCACAATGATTTTGCTTCCTAAATGTATTGATATTGTCTTCACCAAGTGCTCTGTCGCTGTATATTTCATTAGTGTAAGCTTTACAAATCTGTCTATATTTGTTTTACAAATCAATATCTCATTTCCATTTTTTGTTTTAAATTTTATGAAATGGTAAATATTTTCTTACCAGCATTAAAAATAAAATTTGGAAAATACAGAGAGTTACTGTTTGTCGTTTCCTTTGTTATGGGCTTTCCCCAGCCACCCAGTAGGACAGTGATCACATCAGGCTCAACTGGTAGAACGTTCACGATGGTCGCACCATGCTGGATGCCACTCCGTGTTCATGGTGCAACACTGTTAATAGTTGTGTCAGCCCACGTCGTTCACCTGTGTTGGAATACACGGTGCTTGGTGGGGATTTGGCTTCGTTTCGTTGTGTGTCTTGAAACGTCTTCCATCAGTATCCTGCTCCAGAGAGTGGTATGAGGCGCTGCGATCCTCTGTGCAGAGTTTCGTCATCTGGGCACACCATATCCAATGATAGTGGGTTCGAATCCCATGCTTCAAGGCTTGACAGCACATTACCCGTTCTCCAGGGTTCATCAAGGTGAAGTCGCTGTAAGGCTGAAGGCGCTGTAGGCTGAAGTCGCTGTAAGGCTGAAGTCGCTGTAGGCTGAAACAATGCTGAAAGGACGTTAACTCAGTCGCCATGTCTGACCTGCATCACCTCCGACGTTCTGGGCTCTTCCCACTTACCCCACTCCTATTGTTTCAGTAGAAGAAACCACTGGGTTATGATAATCCCCTTTAATCCCTTATTTTGTTCCCTGTGAAATAGTACTGCGCCATACGTATCACTAGGCCACACGTGTCACTACGTCTTTGTTTACGAAATAACTATTCATCCAAACTTTCTTGTGACATGTGCACAACGCAGTGTCCACAAATGAATATATAGCTAGGTATTTTAGGTACATACGTTGTCTTCAACTGACATTGCAATGAATGTTTGTTGGCTAATATATCACCAGTCAAACAACACTATACAAAGACCCGTAACACCGGTACCCAGTATCGTCATTGTTACCAGCCATGGCGTCTAAAGCAGTATGTGGGAGCTTTTTCAATGTAATGGCAACACATGACTAGACCGATTGTAGGCTGTGAGCCGCTATCTGTGAGCATTGTAGATAACTCTGACCCCCACTACAGTTCGTGACATAAAATGTAAGGTCAGTTTCATGTCAGTTCACACTGCTCACAATATGTTTTCACAAAGGATAGCGTTATCCAATCATTTTGTTTCACATGTTTGTTTAAATGCCGCTGTCAGTATTATTCCATATATATGATGACGGCATCTAAACACTTGAGTGTGAACCAGACAGTCCAGTGATCGCTATTGTACACTGTCAGACTGACACCCTCACACAGCTATACCACCAGACAGTCCAGTGATCGCTATCGTACACTGTCAGACTGACACCCTAACACAGCTTTACCACCAGACAGTCCAGTGATCGCTATCGTACACTGTCAGACTGACACCCTCGCACAGCTATACCACCAGTCAGTCCAGTGATCGCTATCGTACACTGTCAGACTGACACCCTCACACAGCTATACCACCAGACAGTCCAGTGATCGCTATCGTACACTGTCAGACTGACACCCTAACACAGCTATACCACCAGACAGTCCAGTGATCGCTATCGTACACTGTCAGACTGACACCCTAACACAGCTATACCACCAGACAGTCCAGTGATCGCTATCGTACACTGTCAGCCTGACACCCTCACACAGCTATATACTCAGCTATATATTGTCTGTTACACCAGTCCTACACATCCACAGATTTACCTGTACACATATGAAAGTCTCCTGACGTGTCAACAGTAGGACCTATCATCCAGGTGGTATCGCGTGACAGCTCGACTGCAGTGACAATCGTGACGGAGAACGTCACGTCGTTTGTGACGTCATCAGTTGTGTGTGACATAGCCATAGTCCAACTCATTGCTGGTAATCATGGATTATTTCATACAAAGTCGAGAAATGTTTTGTCGCAAAATGTAAAGAATCAGCAGAATTACCTTTAGTGAAAAAAACACACAAAATGTTGTTCAATTATGCATGCATTATAGAGCGGCGGCGCCATCTTGTCTCGTGTTCCCAAATCGATTTTGTAACGTCGCCGACATCTGAAACAGACCCGCCTTTTTATGACATGACGTCATTGCCGTGAGCCCAGCACAAAGGGCGATAAATGTGGACTGCAGAGGCTATTCTCCTTCAAAACCTATTTTAGCTATCCCAGATCTGCTGTATGTACAGCGGTAATGATACTTGTTGGTGTTGCATAATCTGCTCAACATAGGGAGCTCGAGGCAATACGAAGGGGTATTGACAGTGATACAAGCAAACAGAGCGAGCGAAGTCGTCTCGTATATTCTGTCACGTTCATCGGGCGTATCCGTCTTCTCAATCTCAAAACTGTTATGCCATATAAGATTGTTCCACGTCACATGTACGTGACGTTGGTTCCATACACACTTCATCACTCCAACAGTCTCTACTGCCATCCCATTCTCTAATACTCATCACTTTTATATATTGTAGCGTGTTAGTCAGTAATTAATATATGATGTAAGTAATTAGTGTACTATTCATGCAACTATTATGTTTAAATGTTTTGACCATACACAAAGCCATGGCTATCTAAAAGAGTTGGGATCAGTTCAGTTTGATATGCATACAAACAGCAGTATTCATCGAATAAAATAATGATAATTATCATAAACACGTTATGCTAAAAACGTGATATTGTTAATACATAAAGTAGTAAAATAAAATGAAATGAAATGAGATAAATTGAAATAAAATAAAAAGACAGACTGATGTCGAGGCGACCCGTCTATACCTGACACATTGTCTCCGTTTACATGCATACTAATGTATACGTGCTGACTGTTTTCTTCTGACTGACGTGGCACATATGTGTATTTCGATCATTTCTCTCAGATTCCAAGGTATATTACAGCTTGTATGTTTCAGGTGACCTTGTGTCGACATTCGTGCCGCAACACCCTCTTGTCTATTTCACTAACCTACTCTTGCGTCAGACCAATGTAGCTATATTTAACGGTGAGTAATGGGTTTAGCTATATCATCAGATAGAATACACCTGTGCTCAATACTTAATCTATCTGGAACTTTCTAAACTAATGGCACAGGAAAGATAATTCAAGGCCGGTGTTGAATTTGGCAATTGTTCAACTTTGATATTGCACCACGCCTTGTCGTCCACACTGCGGCGCGTCGTCCATGGCTGCTGGCAAACGTGGGGAGTATTTGTTTAAACATTAATTGTTATAAAATATCGGAGAAATAAAATGCTACTTTCAAGATGCCAAGACACTGCAGCGATAGTTTAGACTTCTCACTTCTGACAAGGATGAAACGATGTTACGCAAACAATGGAAGTGAAATGACATCAGGGCCAATTAAAAGCAAATCTTTCACCTTCAGCGAAATACCGTGGAGAAAGTTATTACAAAGTGCCTTTGATCGATCAGTTGAGAAGGTTTTGACATGGTGAAAGCATGTTTATGCCTGCTATGCACTATATTTCATGCTTGATGTACATTGTATTTCTTGTCAGTTGTATATTGTATTTCATGCTTGTTGTACATTGTATTTCATGTTTGTTGTACATTGTATTTCATGTTTGTTGTACATTGTATTTCATGTTTGTTGTACATTGTATTCATGTCTGTTGTACATTGTATTTCATGTTTGTTGTACATTGTATTTCATGTCTGTTGTATATTGTACTACAAGCTGTCAACTATGTCTATATATTTCACCACAGCGGGACACAGTGGATATGTTAGTATCAAGATAACACCGACATACAATGATACCGTAAAGATGTCAATTCTGGACAATTCTGGACGTACAATATAGAATTCCACCTTTACGAAAAAATATTCTACCTCATGAAACATCAACTTGATAAAGTCAGTTCAGGACAGGCGGCCTTAGGGTGACTGGTTGGAAACAGAACATCGGGGTGAGGTAGATATATTTCTTGACTAACAGTACACAGGTACTGCATATTGTGATGTCCAGAGATTAATACAGTATATAGTAAGGTGGATTCCACTCCGTCGTCTCACTCTGTTTTTAACATTTCACAATGCAGCAGAGTGGTTTCGGGTGACTGGCACACTCAGGGTGGTTCAGCTCATCATCAGCCCAGGGTCCCCCCTCTATACACAGCCCACACAGCCGATGTGACTTTACACCCTCTATACACAGCCCACACAGCCGATGTGACTTTACACCCTCTATACACAGCCCACACAGCCGATGTGACTTTACACCCTCTATACACAGCCCACACAGCCGATGTGACTTTACACTGGAAGCGCTGCTTGCCGAACATACCAAAAACTTTCGGAAAATGTGTAGAACGCAACGCTCTGCATTACCCAGAGCGTCATAAGGGTTGTATTCCTGGGTACACACGCACCTATTATTGAAACCTTAATCCTAAAACACAATGCATGTACAAGTGTTGTACATCATGTCAATACCGCACCTATGGTCCGGCAAGAGATGTAATATTATCCCGAGTCCCAAAGGAGCAATGTTCAAGCCGTGGAAATATGTATGTATGTGCGTTTAACCGCAGCGCGCGATCGGCACGTGGGTGTGTGCACATTTGACCGTTATTCAGCGATGGCTTGAGGTGTACACCTTACAGATTCCCTCAGTACAAAGAGAAGCTTCTCTTGCTCTATTTTCCCGGCCACGATCGAACAAATATCAAACACTACGTAGTTAGATTGGAAAGGTGGTCAGATTTTAGAGCAAATAGCAGATCATATTTCATTAACAATTATTAATCTCGAAAGTGATCATATGTGACCTAATTCTGTCAATCAATCAATAAGTCGCTCTTCCCGCAGTCACTCTTTGGTTTGATCACCTTGGTCTCTAACAGCGGTGCGCTGTAAAACCACACAAGGCCCACCTTTCAAATACATGTAACAATTTTCTAGGGACCTCGTCACAGAGATTATGTTAAAGCATTATTACTTGGGGGGTTTTACCTGGCAAATATCAAATAATGTTTTCAGTGATAATGCGACATTTAACGATTTGTTATTATGACTTTAATAGGACCATAGAGTACGAACAAGAATTAA